CCAGGAGTCCCGGGATCGAGTCCCGCATCGGGCTCCCTGCTCGGCGGGGAGTCTGCTTCTCCCTCTGACCCTCTTCCCTCTCGTGCTCTCTATCTCTCATTCTCTCTCTCTCAAATAAATAAATAAAATCTTTAAAAAATAAAAAAAATAAAAAAAATAAAAATTCCAATGCCTAGGGCGCCTGGGTGGCTCAGTCGGTTAAGCGTCCAACTCTTGGTTTCTGCTCAGGTCATGATCTCAGGGATAGAGCCCCACAGAGGGACCCACACTTGGCTGAAGTCTTCTGGAGATTCTCTCTCTCCCCCTCTGACCCTCTCCCCATTTGTGTGCATGCACTCACTCACTCTCATACATACATGCATACCCACATACACTCTTAAAAAGAAAAAATTCCAATGCCCAAGGCTGCATACACCCTCAGCCAACTAAGATAGGACCTCTGGTGGGACGCAGGCATCAGTGTTTTTTTAAAGCTCCTCAGGTAATCATGAGGTGCAGTCCAAGCGTGGGCCAGCGTTGTGTGTGGAAGAGAAGCTAGTGAGAAGTCAGTGAGAGTACTTGAGAGCACGGCTGTGAAACAAAAGTTAACCACTTCCCCAAGGGAACGAAGAGGACCCAGGAGTCCAATGAGGGGGGTGACACAAGCTGATGAACAGGCCCCACTGTATGAGGAGCGGGGGGAGAAAACACCTCCGCTCAGGAGACCCCAGGGCAAACAGCGGCCTCAGGGGTGGGGAGCGAGGTTGGTCGTGTTTAATGTGGGAAAGAGCAAGAAACATTCCAAGCTGAGCCTCAGGCAACAGGAGATTCCGCTGAGCTCCCAGAGGGCCCTGTTTGGGGCTGGGGACAGGGTTGGGGGGGATGGCGGCAGTCAATTGAGGCGTGTTAGGGGTGTGCGGTACTTCACATCCAGGGCACAAGGGGGACCTAGGAGGCCTGGGCTTCCTGTAGTGATGGACTTGACAAGTCCGACGTCCCAACGCAGACAGTGCCCCGAGCATCAGGAGGAGATGCAGCAAAGAAACTGTCACCCTCAAGTTCTTGTCAGCCCTCTCCAGAAACAATCTCTCTGAAGGGGTGACTGGCACCTCAGGAGCAGGTGCGAAAGTCCGGCCCCCACCCCCGTGCCCCCGGTTTGTGGCCCTGCATCCAGCAGGAACTCGCAGACGTGAGCACGCTCCCGAGGCCCAAGACCACCCAGCAGAGCAACAGCGTCAAGGGCTGTGGGCACCGACGAGCTACCACCCCCAAGTGCCAGCTCTCTCCCAGGGACTGAGCCTTCGCCAGCGTCAGCATCTTGAAGGGGTCCATGCTGTTTTTAGAGCAGTAGTCATTTGAGCTCGCATTTTTTTGGATTCCTAGCGGGGAGACCCGGCATATAAAACCGCGCAGTGCAACGACCTGGGCCAAAACAAAAACCCCAAACCTCAGTGAACAAGAATAAAGCGCCTACCTTCGGATGCCCAAAATATGGTGACGGGTTTGGAGAAGACATCCTTGCTCTTCACCCAGCTGTCGTTACGCTGTCTGGTCCACGCAGACACAACACAGTAATAATTGCCTCTGTCTTCCTCTGTAGTCCTTTGGATTCGGAAGCTGAACGTGTCCGTGTGCTCTTTAGAAAAAATAAAGTCTCCGTCCTGGGCGCGCTGCTTGCTCCGGTCTCCATACTTGAGCGTCCAGTCCCCGCTCATGACCGCCAGAAGCTCGCTGGCCACCACGTCGTCACTGCGCCGGTTCACCCTGTAGTACCAGGACACGGTGAAGCGGACACTGGCCTCCGAGCTCTTCATGTCCACTATCCGGCACTCCAGCTCTGTGAGGTCGTCGGAAAACTCAGGGACTTTTGAAGCATTCAGGTACACCTGGTAGTCTGGTTCTGAACGAGAGAGGGGCAAGGATTAAGAAAACAAAAAAAAATCAGACGGCTACATATTAAGAATGAGCCAAAGGAATGAGGAGTGCTACTCCTGTCCTGACAATCAAATGCCCAACCCACCAATTACAGTGATGGAAAGGAAAGTCTTCGCCCTGGATAGGAAGGATCTGGAAAGAGTCTGTTATGGCAAAACTCATACAATGCTGCATCACTATGGTCCCCAGGACATCTTCCAAGGCCAGAAGCCAACTGTCTGCAATCCGAGCCTGGACCTTTCCATAGGGTTGGGAGCTGCCGGCAGTGTCCCCGGGAGGTTAGTCCTCCGAGAAGGCTCTAAGATGGCTCGGGGCTCACACTCCACCAAGTTTTGCGTGGCGTGCCAAGCGGTGCCCACAGGCCTCCAAAGCCCCCGCTGGGGCTGCACGGGGAAACCCCATCCCAGAGTACATTCCAGCACTCGAGGCCAATCCCCACGGGGCCTGGTGTCCTGCCATCCCTGGCCAGGCCCCAAACGCAAGGCCCTCGGGTCATCATTCCCCCTGCCGATTCTCGTGCTCACTTTCCTGGTCCTCTGCCTTTTTCCACTCAATCTGTGTTCAGTGATCAATAAGCACCCAACCTCACACTCCCCAGATGACATTCTTTTCACGGCCACACGTAACTCTCCCACACGATTCTGCCAACCCTGAAGCCGGCTCCTGCGGATCCTGGCTCTAGGAAAGCCTGCTCCCTCAGGGCCACGCCCCCTCCCCTGCCCCTACAAACTCTGACGGGGGTGGGAGGAAAGCCAGCCCCCTCCTGGGGTCCCCTGCTGCTGTCACAGCCATCTTCGTCTTCACTTGTGTGGAAACCCCTTCTTCCTCTGACATTCACTGTGCTCGTTTCATCCATTTTTGGAACTCCATGTTTCTGTCTTCGCTGACCCCTAGAACTTCCTCCACGCTTGCCAAGAACTGATATGGGAACCTCTTTGTCGCCTTCCTCCCTCTGTCCTCACCCCCTTCCCCAGGTCATTCCCAATGACCTGAGGATCTCCAGTCCCCACACCATGTCACACCACTGTGGTCACCTACCAGCAGTGGTCTTCTCCTCTTGACCGCCCCGCAAACTTCCACTCCTTCTTCAGTGTAACCTCCTCTGGGTCCCCTCCCAGGCCCCCAGAGCGTGGCCCCCGTTCTCCATGCTCCCACAAGCCATGGAGGGGCACTTGGTCAGCAGCAGCCCCTCCCTGTTATTACGCCTTGCTGAAGGTCTCGTCCCCGAGCTCTAAACACACAGCCTTACAAGCTCAGGAGGCACCCAGCCAACGTTTACTGCCTGGCTTTTAGAGAAGGCTACATTCCTGCCTGGCTTTTAGAGAAGGCTACATTTCTGCCTGGCTTTTAGAGAAGGCTACATTTTTCTCTTGTGGCACGTGGCCTGCTAGGAGCACCCGAACTCTCCCTAAACAGAACTTTCCATCTGCCACCACTATCTTTATTCCCATCACCTCAATCAAACAGTTTAGTTTTATTCAACATTGCTTATATTTATGACTCACTCAGATTATAAACTGCTGAGGTCAAGGAACTGTTCTTTTGAGATTTACGCTTCTAATAAAACGTGTAACATCATGGCTTCCCTAAGAATGATTCAGTGGCCAGGAAAAGGAAAGAAGTCAAAATCCTGTCCCCTTCAAATGTCATCTTCACAAGCATTTAATTGCAATGAGGGTGGTCCCCACGGCACACACAGTTAAACCAACGGGCCCCGGCCGCCAACAGGAGCACACCGCGTTGTGAGGGGGACACTGTGCGGAGACACCGCGGGCTGCTAGAGCGTCACCCCCCGAGTTGTACAGCTCGGGGGCGTCCTGCCTCCTGGACGGAGGGCCAGCACCCCACACTGCCTCTGCAGTAGCACCGACTGTGGAGGAAATACCACCGAAATGCCTTTACGCCATCACGTGCATAAGACAAGGTGTCCCAAAGGACCCCACAGCCCAGGCTTCAGCCCCTTCCCTCCTGGCAGGCTCTGCCAGAGCAACGTAGCTGCAGCCAGGACACCCAGGTTCCCTTCACGTGGCAAGGACAGCCGCGGACTGGCTGGGCGCCGGGCAAGATGGCGCCCCTCCGTCAGGACCGGCCGGGAACGCCGCACCATCACGAGTGCTCGGGACACAGCGGCGGCCCGCCTCCTGTGTGGACCATGACACGGGGACCCTTCACGTGCTCCCACATTACCCTGAATGACAAACTGAGGCCGTGAAGAGCAGGGGTGAAGGGCCAGGAGTCTGCAGCCAGCCTGTTCGGATCCCGGCTCTGCCGTCGGCTTGCTGTGTACTTGGGCACATGCCTTCACCTCTCTGGGGCCTCACTTGTGAAAACAGAGGTAGTAACAGCAACTAGCTCACAACCTGGCTGTGAGGACGAAGAGTTCAAGTATACAGGGGCGCCCGGGTGGCTCAGTCAGTACAGCATGTGCCTCTTAATCTCGGGGTTGTAAGTTCGAGCCCCATGCTGGGTGTAGAGATGACTTAAAAATAAAGTATTTTTATTTATTTATTTTTTTAAAAGATTTTACTTATTTATTTGAGAGAGAGAGACAGCGAAGGAGAGAACACAAGCAGCGGGAGTGGGAGAGGGAGAAGCAGGCTTCCCGCCGAGCAAGGAGCCCAATGCGGGACTCAATCCCAGGACCCTGGGATCATGACCTGAGCCGAAGGCAGGCGCTTAACGACTGAGCCACCCAGGTGCCTCCAAAATAAATTTTTTAAAAGACTTAAAATATACGTGAAAGTGCTTAAACTAGTGCCTGGTACGTGTGCAAATGTATACATACACACACATATTCACAGATATATATACACACAGACGTACGTATTTGTGAACTATTCCCCGTCCAGAGCTTTGAAGAGTCAGTCATGTGCCCGTATAGCTCAAAAGTGGCAAATCTGAACCCAGGGCCATGTCCCTTCTATCACCTTTCAAGGACATCCGCACCTCACAGATGAGCCAAGCTCCCTGTCTTCTAAACTCCATTATTTTCTCACGACCACTGACTGGCTCGTGACCTGCAGCAACACAGAATGCTGTGACTGGCAATGACATGACTATGGTCCTGCCACCAGGGATCTGACACAGGAAGACCGCTCCCCACAGGCCGTCCCCTCAGCCTGGATGACCAGCACAGTCCAAATGGCCAGGAGGCAACCTGTTGGATTTCTCTTCTGTCTCATCAGTCACCAGCTCTTAAAAAGAAACCCTTTGGTCCTTTGGGGTTTACTTCCTTCCCTTGAGCAGTCCCCCAAAGTGGCACTGTGAAAATAAAGACTGTCCAAGTTAGCACGAAAGATGGTAGAGAAGCGGTGACATCAGTGGTCAGACCATGGGACACGTGGAAGAGGTAGGCAAAACTAGCTCCCGCCCCGACCACCTGAGCAGCCCTCTCCCTCTCCTCCTACACCCTGGCCTGGCCACCCCCAGGGCACACTCCTTGTTCCAGAACCCAGCTGCTCCCCTGGCTTCTTCCTTAGGCTCAGACCCTAACACGGGCACAGAGCAGGCTTCTAGGCATCTCAGTTTCATGCTTCCATGGCATCACCAGCACAGCACATCTGTACCCTAATCCCCTCACTCTCCACCTGCCTCTGCCAATGTGCACACGCATGCACACACACATACAAAGCATACATACACAAGCACATTCATACACACACTCATACATGTGTGCGTGCACATACAAGCACACATTCATACACAGGCACACTCGTTCGTGCATGCACACACGTGTGCAAGTATACATACACAAGCACACGTTCACACAGGCACACTCGTTCATGCATGCACACACATGTGCAAGCATACATACACAAGCACATTCATACACACTCATACATGCATGCGTGCACACACAAGCACACATTCATACACAGGCACACTCTTTCGTGCATGCACACACATGTGCAAGTATACATACACAAGCACACGTTCATACACAGGCACACTCGTTCATGCATGTACACACGTGTGCAAGCACACACACAAGCACACATTCACACAGTCACTTATTTGTGCATGCGCACACACGTGTGCAAGTATACATACACAAGCACATCCATACACACGTGTGCATGCACATACAAGCACACGTTCATACACAGGCACACTCGTTTGTGCATGCACACACATGTGCAAGTATACATACACAAGCACAATTCACACACAGGCACACTCATTCGTGCATGTGCGTGCACACACTCATATATCCATGTGCGCATGCATACACACACACACACACACACACACACACACACACACGGACTCAGCTGACTCCCACTCCAAACAGACACGGCCAACTCCTCCTAACTTCCCCCATTACGGTTCCTGCTGCCACACCCACCATTCACTCTCCTGGTCACCTCTGCTTGAATTGTGTGCCATCTCCGACTCTCCACTCTGAGGGTCCCCAACTCTCACACTGCCCCCATTCCAGGACTTGCACACAGTGGATGCTCTATAAATATTTGTGAACAAAAGTTGAAACCTCATGAACAGCATCCTCGTTCGGGCTCTCTCTGCTTCCAGCCAAGACGATTATGATAACCTCCCAACGAACCTCTAGGAAGACACAGTTATCTGCACAATAAACCTCCCGTGGCTTTTCTTCTCACTTCCTGAGTAAGAACACACTCCCCAGCCTGGCATGCAAGGTGCTCATCAGTGTGAGTCTAACCCATGTGTCCAGCCTCACCGCCTCCTGCCTTCCGATACATATTCTACACTCCACTGAGACCACACCTCTCACCATTCCCTAACCACCTCCTATGCTTCCAGGATTTGTCTCCCTTCCTGCTGTTCCCTCTGCCTCAGCACCTGGGACAGCTGCTCGGTTGGTTGCTGAACAGATGACTGAACAGACTCTCCCATTCTACTCCATCCTCCACCTCCAAGTGAGTCAGTTTAAACCCTATAGAACCAAACACAGAGAAAGGAGAATCTCTTCATTGACTGGTTGGTCTC